CAAATTCTGTCCTTCAGTGCATACAGCTCGAATTGAAATCCTGAATAATACACAAACCTACTAAGGGGAAAAAAAAAGCTGATTGTCTATTTCAGTAAATGTCTGATTACATTTAAAACCATGTGTGTGTATAATTTTGATCCCTCATGCACTGTGAAACTGAGGTTTGAAAGCAACATTTCAATTTTTTATAGAAACAGTGTCTAGCAGGGATATTACAATGCGAAGATTAGGTCTCACCTCCTTGTAACAAATTACTGGGGACCAAAATTAAGTGAGTTACGAGGGTCACCCACTCAGTTGGTGGTGTAGGCAGGTTTAAAACTCTGGTCCCAAATATATATTTTTTCCCCTAATGAACCAGTTAACCCCATAGTGAGAATGAGGAGAAAAAAATATTTTGAAACCGTGTGAAACTATCTGTAATTACTGCGCCACAGGAGAAATTCCATTAAATGTCTGCTTTGTCATTCCTCTATCTTAAGATGGCTTTTTTACCCCTCATTGTCCATTGTGCAAACAAATATTTTGCCCTCCTACTGGAAACCCAGGCACCTTAACCAAATCATGGAATGTTTTAACACGAAATTGTAGCAGGAGAAAGAGTTGGTCGCAAACCAATGGATCTTACAGAGGACAGCTGTCAAAATAGAACAGCAAAAAGGAGGAAGCTTGTGGGAGCAGCTGCAACCAACAACATTAGACCCTAAATCTTGTGAGAGTCCTGTGTAATTTGACAGGGAATTATGGCCCAAATCTGTCTCATCTGGGTACGTGGCAGTGCTGCCTAACGGTGCAGCTCTGTGATGGAGCATTTCCGAGGCAATGGTGAGAACCTGGGCTGCCCTGCTTACTCAGAGCCTCACCCAAAATCTGTAGGAGTGGATGGAAATTAGTGTCTCTGTGGTTCAATTGGGTCCCTCTGGAAAGCACTTGCCCCGTGAGAACAGTCCAGTCAAACTCTCAGATCTTTTCTGCGTCCCTTCACTTTTGCTTTTCTCTGTTTTTCTTGTCTTTCCCCTCTCAACTTTTCCCCGTTTCTCATCTCTCGGTACTTAACCTTCAGGTTTGTGTTTAGTAAACCTACCAAAGTAGAATCAATAGCCTGGTGCTTAATCACACTTTTTGCTGCTCAAAATGTCAGGTTTGGGTTTGTTTGTAGAAGGGCTTCTGCGTGTCTTTCATTTTTTTAGCTCTGTGCGGGATGTTCTGTACTGCTCAAATCCATTAAGAGTGAAAGCTTTTGCTGTGGCTGATTGTTCCAATCTCTGTTGCAGCATATACAGGGAATAAATGTAAAATTACAGATGTTGGTTCAGATCATCACGAGAAAAGATCTGTCCTGGTGCTTAAGAATTTTCTCATCTGCTCTTCCTAGGTGAAATCACTAAGGTTCAGTTTTCTAATCTGCTGAGCTAGCTAGGGCACAGGCTAACCATCTGTAAGTAGATGTGGTTGAGTTTAACCATCCTCTTACCACAGAGAAAAAGGAAATCGAGCACAGAATGGCACCCAGGAGCTGCAAGTACGAGTAGAAATTAAATCCTTGACACTCTTTTGGTAAAATAGACAAAGCAAGACACCGTATCTTGGTGCCTCAGCTCCACTTAGGAGCCTGTCAAGAAACTCTTTCTCCCCTCCAGTAGTAAAAATCATGTTTTAGAAACTTGTTTGTGTAACAGGTTTGAAGAAAGGAGGGAAACAAAATGGCATGTGGAGAGCTGAGTACGTGCAGTCCTGTGCAAAGGTGGCTCCTGACCGATCTCTTGATCCTTGGACAAAACTGAGGAGAAAGTCTAACAAATGCATCGTTTTGCAGTAAATTAGATCAGATTTCCGCATCTCCGCACTCAGTCTGTGAGCTGACAGTTCAGTAAAATGTTCCCTTGTAAGGTTCACCCTCTTAGGAAAAGGGGCAATAATTCATCATTAGAATTTCAGAGTCCAGGTGTAGATGAAAACTGATGGAGCCTCCAGTGAGGCAGGGAAAGTGCACAGAAGAAGAAAATTTTATCTGAAGCCTAATTCCCTGGCTACAGCAGAGAATAATTAAGATAATATTGCTTCAAGAGTTCTTTAATGATTAAAAATCACATATGCAGAATCCATAAATTGGAGGGCAACAAATTGGAAGGGTACAGCGTTGGGGATGTGTTTTGTGCACGTTGTAGGGGGAAGCACACCCGTGGCACAACAGCAGCCCGGGCAGCCACAGGAGACCAGGCCCATTCCAAGGACTTTGTTTAGATGCAACAAATCATTTGTCTGTTATTAACCCAGAGCTTGTAATTATGCAGATTGCCATAGATTTTCCTGGGCCTGGAAGTGAGATTGAGGGTTGTTCACACTATAGCAGGCAGCTCAGGGCTGGCCATGCATTACTGAACTTGCCACATTTATCATGTTGACTGATGGCAGCAGAAGCAGGTCTCAGGTCCCAGTGGTTAATGTAGTGGGTAATTAACTGTCATTTGCCTAGTAATAGGCTGATGATCAATGGTTTGTGTGGAAACAAATTCTAATCAGGTAGCTGATAAATGCTCAGGGAGCGAGAGCAATTGAAATTGGGGGAAACTATGTCCAGAATTTCAAAATGGCATTGTGGGGTTTTTATTATTATTATTAATGGCAGAAAACTATGTTCTTCATATAAACAGCTTTATCCAAAATTAACAATAGCTAATATAAATCTCACATGTTTGTTTTGTGTGTGGTGGAGAAGGACTAACAGCAAGGAGGGCCTCCTCCCTCCCTTTACGTAATTGAAAAATTTTAATGTATCTGGTGCTTAGCTGGAGCAGTTTCTGCGGGGTCTCTTATTCCAGGACTGGAGAAATCTGCACAGAGTGGACTCGGGTGCAGTAAATCTCCCTCCTCTGCAGTGCTGGATGACAATCCCAAATTGTTTTACTGCTCTGCAACATGCAAACCGCAGCGCTGCCTGGAATGGATTTGCACTTCCTCACACAGCACACACCTGCAAGGGGGCCCTGGAAGGTGACACTGCCCCTCACACCCTGCCTGGACAGGGCTTTCAGCTGTGCCTGGAGCTGTTGCACCTAAACCACCTAAGCACTGAGGTGCTGTGTGAGCCCCCACACTGAGCTTGGAGGTGCTGGGACCTGGCTCATCTTTGTGTTTAAAGGTTGCTGTTGTGTTCCAGCCTCGAAGCCTGGCTTTCCCTTTGCCATAACCACGTGGAATAGCAGCACTGTGCACCTACAGCCCTTTTCCAGCCTGGCCTGCCTCCCTCACACGGCTGCCATCATCTTCTGCACAGATGGGCAGGGAAGCAGAGCTTTGGTCCCTGGGTAAAATCACCTCTGACAAAAGTCAGCCCTCGAATCTGGGAGGCAACAGAGCCTTGTGTCCTTCTTCCAGACAGGAATCAAAGGGATTCAGACAACCTCGGTGAAACCTGGGCTTGGTGGATAGAACTGGGAGTGTTTCCCAAAAGGAATATTTACGACCTGCTAAAACACCCTATGATTTCACTAATCAGACTTCAGGAAAAGTTGCCTTGAGTCGTTCTAACAGCAGCTGATGAGGATGGCCTTGCCCCAGCGTTTCTCCAAGTGAGCACAGTAACCAGCATCTCAGGCAGGAGGAAAAGGGTCACAACTGCTAAATTAAACAGGCATGTATTCTGTAGGCAGCACACCTTAAGTAGAAGCAGAAGGTAAAAGGATTTAGAATTAAATAGGCTTGTTGGCAACCCATGAAATTCAGTAAAATGGAGGGATCTGATTAAAAAACTGTGTTCATTTTTATGTTACCAAACTGAATTTTCTACAGAGCACCTTTGAATTCATTAGTTTAGAACTGCTTTTAATTTGGTGTTTCCCTTGAGAGCCATTATATTTTTCTGCTGTCAGCCTGATGTTGAGGAAAAAAAGAAAAGTGGCAGATGTGGCGTTTTCATCTGGTGTGCTTCATGGTTAAAAACAGCATTAACTGCTATGCACAAGCAGAGCATTACTTTTAATAATCCATCACAACTATTAAGTAGTTTAAATAAACTTAGTTTCAAAGATTGCTGCCTCTGTAGAGCTAACGTATTTTTTCTTGTTCATTATAATCCTTCTGTGTCACAAAAGGATGTGTATGTGTGTTGGTTGGGGTTTTTTTTTTTTTGGTCTGTTGTTTTTTTTGTCTGTGTAATACACCCACTTGAAAAGTATTGAAAAATCTTTAGCAAAGGGAATTTAAAAAGAAAATTATATAGATGTCTGGCAAAAACAGCATTTCATATTGTTCTTACAGTATTTTATACTTCTACTCCTGATGTGACTATATATAGTTTACAGCCTCATTTACTTTAATGTGCTACCTGAATAACATAATCATAGCAATAACTATGGTATAGGGTAGTAAGGTGCATGAACTGCTAATGCTTTCTGACGATTTAAATGACTTGTTCATAAAATGTTCTTTTAATAATAGTGGTAAAGCTTTTAGCACTAGATGTCAAAAATGCGAAGAATGTTGGCTTTTTCAAGTGTTATTTCTTTTCTAGCTAAAGTGTGTTTTAGTAATAAGCAGCACCAAAAGCCAAGGTTATGTGGCTCTCTCCTGCACGGCAGGATCTAAGAAGAAGACTCTTCCCACTTATGCAAACAGCTTGACCTCTGTCTGCACAGTTATGTAACGTCCCTAATGTGTTTACTGTTTCTTTGTTTGGTTTAACAAGATGCTTCTTTTATCAAGAAAGGTGCAGACAAAAAATTAACCTGCAGGAAAAAAAAAAAAAAAAAAACAACGACATCACAATAGGTTCTATGTTAGTCTGTCATAAAGCTCTCTTCAGCAAGGCTGTGTCTTTGTGCTGCAAATCGGGCAGAGTTGAACCCCCAAAGGCCAGCCTTTCCAAAAGGAGGTGTGCTGGGGAGTCAGTCAAAGAGCAGACTGTGGAGGCAAAAAAAAAAAAATACATTAATAAAAAAAAATTAAAAAAATTTTAGAAAAGTGAATCAAGAATCTATTTCTTTCTGTGTCTCCAGGTTATTTGGCGTTACAGGAAACTGTGCTGCCTGCAGTAAGCTCATTCCTGCTTTTGAGATGGTGATGAGAGCAAAGGACAATGTTTATCACCTGGACTGTTTTGCATGTCAGCTTTGTAATCAGAGGTAAGAGAATTTCTTGGGTCTGTTCCATGGGCTAAGTGCTGGCTCGGCACTGGTGTGGGTGTACATTCCAAAGAGGAAACACTTTCCAGCAGCACAACCCCGAGACTGAGAGCAGCACCTGGGTGCCATTCCTGGGACTGATACAGAACATCTTTCATGACCTTGGCCAGAAAACTTTTTGTGCCTCAAATCCCACATCAATAAAAAAGAATAATGTTACTTCCTCTCCTTCAAAAGGCTGTCTGTCAGGTTTAATTAATTAATATTTATAAAGGTCTTTGAGATCCTTTTCTGCAGAAGAGCATAGCAGCACCATTTGTCATTATTGCATTAATTTCACTTTAATTCTTCATTTTTATCACATGTATTTCTTTTAAAGTACACATTGTTTCTTCCTGTTGCCAGAACTGTAATCATTTAAATTTAAAAGATGTTGTTCCCACCATTTCCTCTGCAGCAGAATTTTTTATTTCCATATCCAAACCGTAGGTTATAAAAATCCCAAGGATCCAAACCTGACACCCTGTTCTGAAGCATCACCCATATGGCTCATTGGAGAAGGAATGTCAGAAATGGGAAAATTGTAACAACTGATTTTTTTTTTTTTTTTAGAGGTGAACAGAGCCAAGTTTATAGCAGCTACGCTCTGAGTGGTGGCTGAATCCTGTCAGGGATTTCACCACGAGCTCCATTCCTGACTCCACCAGAGCTTTGCCACTGACTTCTATGAGGTCTAGAAAGTGAGAGAGCCAATTATGTCCACTCCTTAATGTCCCTGTTATTTTCAGTTATTTCTCAGTTATTACATGATCCTATTTAGCGTTTTATAGCGCTCATATCTTTTTTTCATTTCTTCAGTTGGGAAGAAAGCAAGATATACATTTTTAGGGAAGCAATGAAAAATTAGGAAGATAATAGTCTAATATGACAAAGCTAGACACAGCTCTAAATAAGCTTTGCTAACTCACCTTGTCCTACAGTGTATTATTTTTTAACACTGTAGTCATTTAAAAATCAAACATCCCTAAAGAACCATAAAATGTACAGCTGCTAATAAGTGTAGCACACTACAATTACGCTCTTTAAAAAAAGCCAAATTGACCTTTTTCATCATGTTGCATGGGAAATTAAAATACCAGGCAAGTAATAACCACTGCTTAAACTATATAATAATGCAAAGTAATTATAGGTTCTAATGCTATTTAAAGTCCTATATCAATTTTGCCTTGCCACAGAACTGAGGAGCCGTGTTCCAAGCAAGGCAGGCAGAGGCTCCCACAGTTCCCATTTAAGAGACACACAGAGAACGTCCTGGGTTTCCTTTCCTAAACCCTTCACATCATGTTTTTTTGTTTTTTTTTTTCCAAACCACAGTTCTGGTATCATTATTAAAGCACCTAATATATTTCTGTTGTTCGCTTCATTTATTACATGCCATAATGGAGCTGCATATCTTTAGTGTTGGTTATGCACAATTAGCACTTAGTTATTGTCTTGTCACTTCAGCCCATACAAGACAAACTTCTTTAATGCAAGAAGTCAGCTAATCTTCATCAGTCAAGCAAAGCAGACAATGTTTGTTAGCCAGAGTGCAGAAGATTTTCATCATAGTTAGCACTCTTGGATCTGAGGAGGTGAACTTTCCTTTTCTCCCTCCCTCCCTCATCCCCCCCCCCCAAAAAAAAAAAAAAGCACAGCTGTTATGAATATTTTTAATATTCCTCTTTTGCCATTACAAGTAATGTACAATTTCACTTTGCAGCTAACTCACATCGTAGTGTTCCCTGGGGCCACTGATCCCTCTGGAAAAGTGCTGTTAGATGCTTCTGAAATGGAGCTTAACTGGGTTATTTAATAATTCTCAGCCTTTTTATTCCTGAGCCTTCAATCTAATCTTTTATTTGACTTTTACTTTGCATGTATTTTGGGCAAAGGGTTGCTGAAATAGTCTTACAGGTGTCTTAGACTGAGAACAAAAGAATGAATTTACCTGAAATTCAGTCTAGTTCATCTAGTGAAAACAGGGAGTGGTTCCAGGAGTTACAAAGAATTTCAGAAATTCTCAGAAGTGACCCTAATCCAGATCCTATTGCAATTGCTCTCATGGAGCCTAATAAAGCAGACTGCTTGTAGGGCACCTTTCTTCCTCACAATTTGGGACTAATGGCCCTCTGAAGAATTAATTTTGTTGGTTTTTTACCAAAAAAAATCCTATTTCATGGATGCTCCAACATAGCTTTACTCCAGTTCCTATGGCAAAGCATCCCACTGACTACATTCTCTTATTAATAGCTTTCAATCTTTTGCTTTTTGTTACTTATATAACAATAAACCTCCACACTGTTGGACACCTGGCCCATCAACAGCTTGGGGGTTTTCAGATCTACTGTGAAACCTTTTTCTGTACTCTTTTAAACAGAAAAATCTTGTCACTCACCATTTCATTAATAATTTCTGTTGTCCTTTAGGATCCTTTTTCTTCCTCTGCTCAGTCTAATCAAAACCACACAGCAGATTCTGAGTAAGGATGTGTTTAGAAGACTTCAGTTTAACTTTTTTAAGTTTCTGCTGCCCCTTTGTATACAAAATAATGTTATTGAGGGGTTTTAGATTTGCTTTTTCCTTTCACTCTAGCCACTGATTCCACCAATATGTAATTTCTTTATTGAAGAGAAAATTTTTATTCACAAGCATGTCAACAATATCCAAAAATCATCAATGGGTGTATCAAAGAACACCAGCTATTTCAGGACCTGCCTAGCCTTATTCCCCAATTTCACATTTTCTTCCCCCATTAATTTTTAAAACCTTTGAGTCCTCCTCTACAGTAGTTTTGCAGAGTATGTAGTGCTCTCTGTTTGATTTCACATTTCATTTTCACTTATCATCTGCCATTTAGGTTTTTTTTCCCCTAACAGAATTCATGCACTGTTCATGAGAATACAGAATTGTTTCTTCAGATTGCACTTGTCTTTGCCAGCACTGATTTTTTTTTAATTTTTTTTTTTCCTGATGTTCTGGGCCCAGTTGCTCCTTCCAGCCCTGCTTTTCAAGCTAGGTAATATTTATATTAACAAACAACTCACTGATCCGTGGGGCAGCCCATCCTTCAGTCTTGCTGCTGCATGACCCTCACATTCCTACCCTTTAAATAGCTGATCCTGGCCCAGAGAGATGCCTGCCCATTTTTGCCCAGTGCCCTTTGTGAAGACTCAGTGGTTTTTCCTGCTTTTACGGACAACTTCCCTGTTTGCTTTGTTATTTTTGAGTATCTACAACTCCCCACGCAGTGCCAGTCTCGGTGTGGATGGTAATTAGGCTCCCTTCACTTAAGGGGACTTTTGTTGAGGCCGTGAACTCCAGCTCTGAACTAACTCAGAGCATGCCTGTCCCTTTATTTAAGTCCTGAATGTGACTTTTTCAGAGTGAGGAGAAAAAGGCATTGTCTCACCCACTGTACTCCAGGAAGACAGACTGCAGACACAGGGCTGCCAGGGAGCTCCTGAGCCACTAAACCTGGTGTCAAACAGGCTCTGTCCCCTATTTTCCCTTTCATAAAGCTATTCAGCTCCAGGAGCTAATTGCTCCAGCCAGACAGGGTTTTTGAGATATTTCCCCCATGTTTTTCTCGATACTGATGCTTAAAGCTGTAGCAATTTTGTGAATATTAAGCTCTGCTCCTAGCCTAAAGGTTTTAGCATCCTCTTATCTCTCATGTCTCTGTCCAGCTTACTCCTAATTTGAAGTTTTCCCATCGCCTAAGTACCTGCAGAGCTTAGTGACAGTCATCTTAATGGTGTGAGTGCTCCCCTTTCTTCTCTGTAAACATATTTCACTTCTCCCCAGAAGCCCTTCACCTCACGTTGACAGTAACCTCACTATACCTAATTTCTGCAGAAAATTTAAAGGGGTGGGAGCAGGGGGAGAGAGAGAGAGAGAGAGAGAGAGAGAGGAAACCACTGGAAAAATAAACTTGTAAACAGACACAGCCTTTCACACTTTGTCAGGCTGCATGTGTGTGACTGACAAAGTGGAGTGGCAAATCTTGCAAGTGGGCTCAGCTGTGTCTTTGCTTGACACTTTTGACTGCAGCGATGATGTCAGCCTGCCTCCAGCTTTCCCACTTCCCAGAGTTTCTGTGTCCTTCCTCTCGCTCTCTTTAGCGCCTTCCTCCCCACTCCTGTGAAATCTTCTCTCTGCAGTTTGAAGTCAGCTCAGAGTATGGCTAAAAACCCCCATCTGCTGTCCCTGAGAGGTGTCTAAATCGCCTGTTCTACCCTTCTAGCTCAAACTGCCTTCATTTTAATGGAAACCCGTCTGAGAATGGTCGCACACTCACTGGAATTGCTGTCCTGATGTAGCTGTAAACACCTCCAGTATAAACTAAAATGCCCACACAATGCTGCCTTTGTTCTCTGTCAAGCAGTGGGGAGGGATACAATGCCAGGGACATCCTTATTCCAAACACCAATATTAGAATTTTGCATAAGTGGTAGTTTAATGAATTCTGAAGGCCTGAGTACTGCTTATTTTCATTGTACGTCTCAAAATTTAAAATACAAATTAACATATTGCCCATACCCGCTTTTTATAAAATACTACATGAAAAGCACACCCAGGTGAGGTTTGCCATTTTAATTTGAACTGGGATTCTGTGTCTACATATTCTGCACGGTGCTGGGTGAAAATGTACAAACTCAGGCACAGCTCCCACTTTGCAGCTTCTGAAATGGACATTTTGACAGAACCCCAAAATTAATAAACCACGGGTGTGGACTGATGAACTGTGGTGTAAAAGAGTGGTTTTGTTCTCTCAGTGATGCATATAGATTGATGTTAATGCGAGTTGTACTGGAAGCACAACATTTAAAAAGAGAGGGAAGGGGAAAAGCAGAGCCCAGGCTACATCTCTGATTGCAAAAAGCAGAGGGGAAAGGTGTGGGTGTGGTAAATCTGAACTGTCCTAATCCTCAGGAAATCAACTAAACGCTTCCAGATTTTGTTTCTCTCTACAGCGACAAAGATCTGGCATTACCAGAGCAGGCACACACAAAGCCATCTTCCTTCACAGCAAGATTTATCTTGCTTTCTTAAGTAGTGTTCAGCACCTTGACACACATCTTGAGCATCAGAAAAGATGACAGACAGCAGTGAGATCTCCTTAAATATCTGTTCTGAACAATGAAAGAGCTACTTCTCAAAATGGAAGTTTTATACTTCTTGCGATTAGCCCAGACACACCTTCCCTTCCAAACAAGGTGATAACAGAGGTCATTTTGTAATATAAATGGCCTTCCTTTTGCCATTGTAAAATATGACAGGGGTTCTAGGCTGTAGGTTAATTATAATGGTCATTCTGCTAATGTCACAGTCGTGTCAAAAGCACTATTATCAATTTATGGTGCTCAGTCCAATCTGGCATGTTAATGCAGCCTATTGTATATTCTTTCCTGTTCATCTTGCATGCCTATTAAAAAAAACTGGGTGAGACTTTGAGGGAAGGCTGAAGACTACCATCTGCCTGCTAGAAGAGTAATAATCTTGCCTAATTATATACTCCTAACGCAGGGGCATCGTAATATGCTCCTCGATTCTATTTAATATGTGTGCCCAAATTGTGTCCCGATTTACATCCTATGCCAATTCCATAAAAAACCCCGAACCTTAGTGGGAGGCTTGGCTTCAATTTGCCCTCCCACTTTAATGCTGAGCCGGGTTTAAATCTCGCAGTGATTTAAACACCCAATCTGAAGTAGTTACAGATATATCTCTTTCACTTCAGGAGAGGCTAAATCTGGTTGTGAGAGTCAAATAAAGTTGAAAGTGTGAATGAATGGCCAGAATTCCTCATTTTTCCTCTGCTTACTTGCCCTGTCCCGTTGTACCTGGGAGCCGGGATTGTAGGTTTTTCAGCTGATGCTCACCTCCTTGTCACCTAATGAGTGCTCAATTCACACATTTAACACCCAGGGACCCACACAAGCCTCACCGTCAGCCTTTGCCAAATCTCCTTGTCACTGGGCTTGCACTATATGAAAACAATTGCAGAATTCGAACCCTAGGCATCACAAGCAACAGGTTTCCCCGAGGCACAGGAGAGCATCCAGAGGATCCCTTCCCGTGCAGACAGACCCAAAAATCCGATTATCACAGGCAGGAACAGAAGGGATCCGTGGAACTGTGTGAGTTTAAAGCCACTCATGCACAAAGCTGTCACATGCCATGTAGACATAGGTAGAGCTCTTCTGGCTGCACATATCAACATTGCTAAAGCAAAAGGCATTGACACTTTTTATTGGGAAAGGCATCCTGACACTCCTGTGTAGCTGGTGCAGTTTAATTCGAGCTGTGCCACTTCTCCGAGGGCTGAGAAACAAAATCCTCCAGGCAGGATTTGGATGCAAACAAACAATATCGCATGGAGCCACGTGTTAAGTATTGGCGTGCAAGCGAATTGCACTTCAGCGGTGTATTTTTCATCTATTAAATGCTTTAAAAAATTAGTGTCTTACCCTGGAACAAAAGGAATACAGAGCTGAGTAACATTTTCAGTTCAGACTTTGTGTTTTCTGCTGGGTGCAGAGTCTCCCACTGGTGCACTGGTTTGGGGTGGGGAGGGTTTTTTTTTTGTTTGTTTGTTTTTTTTGGGGTTTTTTTTGTTGATTTTAAATGTGACTTCTTTGGGAAAAACAAGTGTTACATGTTGGCACTAGTTAAGACTCCTTTACCTAATCTTGTAAGGTGCACAAATGAATTTTTCTCAGAATTGCCGTCAATGGACAAAAATACAAAAGGTGAAAACTAGGAAAAAAACCCCAAAGAACAACTTTTATGTATGAATTCTGCATTTCAGCATAGCTATTCAAAATCGTTTTGTGCTGTTAGTAGCCTAGTACAGGGGTGGGAAGAATAATAGGAATCTCTAAATTCTGTAAAAGAGTGTTGACCATAAATAACTTAAAGATTTCAGGATCCTCCCATAATCTCTATTTTCAATCATCATCAGCAGCAGGCAGTAATCCCACAGAAAAACAAAAAAAAGTCCACAAATAAACAAACCAATTTTCCTTTAAGAGCAGAACTAATTCCTTTCAATCCACTTTTTTATTACACTATTTTCCCTCTATCTATTTAGCTAGCATAAGGATAAATTTCCAAAGCTACCCAGTTGGAAAATAAATGGGTTCACTGTTTGTCTAGCATTCCAATCTTCACAAATGTAAATCAGTCCAACTGCTACTCATTTAAACCTCCAACTTCACAAAACATTAAAGGACTGCTTTCCATACACAGTTTAATCTGTAACAATTCACCAAGATTTCTGCTTGAACATCATTAGAAATTGACTCTCTGATAAAGACAGACCAAAATCAGGGGTCAGGTGGGTCAACCTGTGTCATTTATGGAGTTTTAATGGGTCAACTGCAGCAGGCACCACTACTTGAAGGTTAAATTTTTACAATTAAATACATATACAGCTATTCCCATAGCTACTCTGCTGTTAAATCTACCGTAAACAACACAAGCGTTTATATCTGACCCTAATTGTGTCCAAGATGTCACCATTTAGAAATTATATTTAAAAAAAAAAAAGGACATTATAATCCGTTACACGTTAAACAATACTTTATGTGCTGAGATCCATAATTAGCTGGTAGAAGCTGGTTTCATTTGTTCACATCAGTGTTAAGGGGTTCATTTAGGTTACTTTCTTTCATTTTAATTGGAATAAGGCAAGCAGTGCCTCCCAATATATTTCATAGCTGGAGAGTTCACTACAAACAAAGCCATGTAACCCTGCCAAGGCAGTCACTAGGGAAACTTTTTTTTTTTCCTGCATTGGCCCCCATTCATTTCTCCCTAAGTATCTTCCACAAGAGTGGCTTTGTCAAGGGGAAGAAGGATTGAAGGGTGTGTCAGGGAAGAGCCTTCTTAAATCCAAGCATATATTTTTAGCTGGGAAATCCTACTTTACTCCCAAGTTTGAAGGCAGGCAGCCAGGAGCATTAACATTACGTGATTGTCCTGCTCATCAGAGGAAAAGCAAATGAAATCTCTCAGTGGCGTTTTGCAGCAATCAGATCATCCTGATGCACATAATGGTATAACAAGGTAGGAACACTGATACCACAAGAGAGAGAGTAGTTAGCTGAGTAACTAAATTTATAATCAACTCCTGCAGGAAAAAAAAAAAAAAAAGGAAGAAAAAAAAGGTTTCTCTGCATGCCTGCGTGTCTCTGGTTTGCACCACAGTTTATGTGAAGCTGTGTGTGTGCTAGGAACAGCTCTCAGAATCACCATCTTAAATCAAATCACTGAAATATCCAACTGGAACATAACAAGGAATTCTTACTAGGACACAAGACAAATGCAGGATATCTCAGCAAGCTTCCCACTGCATGCAATCACTTTGTCCTTCTGGTTTGCACGACAGCAGGACATTTACTCTTCACTCAGCTGGGCAGCCTGGGATATTTCTTGTGCTTTAGCTGGGTGACAGTGACCTGATCCAGGAGTCCTCTGAACGAGGTCTTGGGCTGGGGAAGCAAAAGTGCCTGAATGCAGTAGATTTTGTTGAAAGCACCAGGATCAATTGTGGCACCAGGGCAATTCCTCTGCTGGGCTCTCCCATGTGCACCCATGGGTGCTGTCCAGCCAACACCCTTACCCTATGTGAGACCATACCACACCGTTTATCCTCAAACTCTCCCTTTTCTTTCCTTTTTTTTTTTCCTTTATTATTTCCATTTCAGATTTTGCGTCGGAGACAAATTTTTCCTGAAGAACAACATGATTCTGTGCCAGACAGACTATGAGGAGGGTTTAATGAAAGAAGGTTATGCACCCCAGGTTCGCTGATCGGATGCCACCTCGTTAAGAATAAAAAGCACTATGTTCTTTTATCTTTTCTGCTCAACATGTATATAAGAAATGACACAGGAACCTACTGAATAGCATAGATATAGGGAGACAGAATGGTTGCGTGAAATAAAAGGCGGACTGCATCTGTATGTAGTGAAAATTGCTCCAGTTCAGAGTTGAATGTTAATTAAAAAAGGTACTGTATATAAAGATGGATTCTTTTTGCTTGCTCTTGGGATTTTTCAGTTCGTTTGGGGTTTTTTTTTTGTTTGTTTGTTTCTTTTTGTGTCATTTGGCATGAGATGTTTATTTTGGACTATTGTACATAATGTATTGTAATATTTGAAGCACAAATGTAATACAGTTTTATTGTGTTACCATTTGTGTTCCTGTTTGCTTCTTTGTATTGTTGCATTTAGTACAATCAGTGTCTAAACTTCCTGTATATTTATGCTTTCTGTATCTACCAGCTATTTTAAATGAGCTGTATCTTTCTAGTAAAAAGCATTAAAGAGCAAATCCCAACCATTATGCTACACTTAGAGCTTAAGAATACTGTTTACATTAAAACTATTTAGAAAACTAATAACTAGCAGCACCTGCTGCTAATGATGCTATGGTTAAGGGTCTATCAGCACTTCTCTTATAAGCCTCTATTTTTCAGGGGTTAAGCATCTGCTGTTTAATTGCATGGATTTTCCTCAAAGAGCACTTTTATTTTACTACAAAATTTTGAGAAGCAAATCTGACTGGTTCGAGATATATTATAAAAGGTGCAAAAGTTCATGCTTTTTGGGTGCTGCTTTTGTGCCCCTTAGGCATTCCAAATGCCTGGATTTGATTTTTAATTTAGCTGGAAATTAAGCCCTAATGCAAACCAGTGCCTCTGGGTATCTTATTTTATATATATATATATATATATATAAATATATATGTTATTTTTCTGAAATCGTTAATTTGGGGGGAGGGAGGAAAGGGAGAAGATTTCTGTTTATATACATTTTTAAAAATTCTTAAAATTTGAAG